AAAGTGGTCCACTAATAACAAATTATATTGTAAGTTGAAGGCTAAACTCATATTACGTACGTGTAATATGTAACACACAAATTTGGGTTAAGTTAATTATATATATGAATACAATAAGCATATCTATAAAATCATATTATATACAAGAACTTTCGTTGTCAAACAAATTGATTCTTAATTGTTGATAATGATTCACAAAACTTCATAATTCAACAATAATTTGAAATCAGGTAATAAACATATAATTACATAATTTGATATAATCTTTGGCCTATAAACTAATACAAAATTGATTATGAGCTAATTAAATAAAAAGTCATTTACCAAACAAAATTGATTGCTAGCTGAACACATAATTTAAAAAGCCAACAACTAAATAAGCATTTTCCTTTTCAAATAGACCATTGTTTAATTTAAGTTTTAATTCAATCATATATCATTAAATAAATTAAATAGATATAATGTACCTTCCTTTAGATGCACCAAGATATGACAATGAGGAAGCTAAAATATTTTTCTTAGTCGTACTTCCTTTGTTTTTAGTAATAATACTTTTATGATGAAGAAACTAAAATATTGAATTAGTTGCAACGAACATTCAACACCACATTTGTATAATCTTTTAATAAAATTAAATCAAGTCAAACACCAACATATTTAAAAAATAAAAATCATGTAAATTGGAATTCGGAGTATGATTGTCCAGATGTATTATCAAAGCTGTTAGTTCAATAATATTATTGAGAGTTGGAGAATATTATATAAAATAGACCAAGATGTCGTTAATCTCCTCACTTAATACCACTATTCTCTAGAGCTATTATGTTGCTAAGTGGTAATTAATTATCCAAGTTTGCCTTAATAGATTTTGATTATATATATTTAGTATAAATTACACCTATACTATGCATGCATAACATATACAACTAATACAATTATTATGACTTAATGCTTTTTTATTATTTCCAATAATATAATGTGTGCACTATGCATTGTCCTTATATGAGAAATTCATACGGAGTACTTGTTTTCCAGCTAAGATTAAGATTTCACCTTATAACTTTGAGATTATAAAGGGCTTCAATCTTTACCAACTATGATTATTGGTGGTGAAATTTTTGGCTCTGATACCATGTGAATAATAGATGGAGACTCTACCCAAATAGGGAGCCGGACACTCATACATATATAAAACCGTAATGTTACACAATTACATAAATAATCTTAAGGTCACACTATTAGTGTGGTTAGTTGACTAACTTAACTATGAAAAGTCTTTGTTTAATACAAAACAGTACAGTGTACATAGTTAAATACAATACCCTAGGATGGATTTGATCGATTTCAAGGTGAATTTATAAAAAGTTCATGGTATGAAATTCAAATATTTATTCCAAAACAATTCTTTAATTTTATTAAATCTATATTACTAACTGTTAAAAAAAGTGTTTAAAGGATGTTATGCTAATGTAAAATGTATAAAATAATGGGGTGAATAATTAATAATCCCACGGAATTATTATTTACAAGTTTTAAGTTCATACTATCTACAAAATAAAATACTTCGTACATTATATTATTCCTCGCAATTGTAATTTGTACTGGATTTGTGCCTATAAAGTTTGTGAGGTAGCAATCATGTATGTATCAGAAGATAGGGAAATCGGGATGACTAGTGACTAAGTTATTCAGTCAACATGTAATGCTTTAGGCACTTTGTAAGAGACATAACATAGTGCATCTTTATCACAAGTATACATCTATGATCTATATTTGAAAGTTTACTTACACTCTCTCTCATCTCCCTCAACCTACTATTGGATTATTTGTATGTATATACTTTCTCCATTTCTTTTTAGTTATTTAGTTGGGGCACTTACATAAAGTTACTTTAACTTTTCAGCGTTAAGAAAAAATTTGTTAGATTCATCTCAACATATTGTTTCAAATATTATTATTATAATCAAAATTACATGCATACTACATATTTTTCACTTAATGAAGATATCTATATTTGAAAGTGCATACGCTTCGACAAAAATAGCTACTCGTAAATTATATATGTAATAAAATCAAACGGAGGAATTGAAGTAGTAGTATAGAGTATTTCAAAGGCCTGGCCTTAATAAATCCATTGTATATTTTAAAAATCACCTAGAGTGTATTGCATTAAGAGATATTTTTTTCTTCCTTCTTCGAGAAGGACCTCTTAGAGTATTGGTCCACAGGCTACCTCGCATCCATGAAGTGCGAGTTCGATTTTCATCAAACACAAATCTCATCCTCCTACCCTTTAAAGTATAATTAAATGATACTTTCAAATTTAGACTTTTATAAGTAAGTCGTTCAGTAGTTGTATTAGTGGCTTAGTGCACTTATTGGTGCAATAGACATCTCCTTTTCTGTTGTATGATAGTGTAATGTTATGGTGTGACACATTCTCGCTTTTAAAGTAAAAAACGAATGAACTTTATATATACTGGTAATTAAAGACGATGCATCACCTATGATACCTTGGCATGTTTCACAAAATAAATAAGTTAATACGAATTAAAGTATTTATGTCAAAGTTGTCATTGTAATTGATCAATATTTCATACATTTTTGAAGCTAATATTCGACTTCATCGGATGCTTACTACACGTCATTACAATCCTTAAATTAATTACAAACCTTCACATGTGGCTGGCCACACTATGTGGCCAATATCGTGGTTACTTTGTTAGTGTTATAGGACAGTGGCGGATCTTGAAACTTTCTCTATCAGGGCCAAATTTTTGTAATATAAATGTAACTATGTAAATCCATAAGAGTTAAATAACTAACAAAATTACACTAATTGACTCAAAACATGACTCAACTTAAATTATTGACACAAAATTATCGTATTTTTAAACTGATTTGAGAATGGACACTAAATACACCCCGTGACATGAATTTAATAAAAAAAATGAAATAGATATTGTCATTTGAAATATCAATGAGTACAAATAATGTTTTTAATCACCTACTAAATTAATGTCAATTTGTTTATGATTAAATTTCATGGTAACGGTTATAATTTGATCTTAGTTCATATTAATGACTGTTATTAACAAATGTCATATCAAAAATGAAAAACACAAATTTAACTATACATATTCAAATTGATTTATAAAAAATGTATAATATAAAAAATTATTTTCTCATTAGAGCATTAAAGTTTTGACACATATCCTCTTATAATAATAATAATAATAATAATAATAATAATAATAATAATAATAATAATCACCATAAATTGAAAATTGAAAATTAAAAATTAAAAATTAAAAATCTATCTAAAAATAACACTAAATTTACCAGAAAATGAAAGCACGAATGTGTAAAAAGAAAGCAATCAAAATGAATCCTAAAAGAAGAAAAGAGAAGGGGATACAAATTTCTAAAAAAAGCAAGGATAAAGACGAACCACATAAAAAAAAAGAGAAGATAGAAAAAGTCTTCAATATGTACTACATATCTATTATGATTTATGAAGCATGCTTGAACCTTCTCAATCTTGATACATGTTTAGTCATCGTCTTATAATTACTCTTAATTGCATGTTTACATCACTACTTTGGTTAAATTTTAATAAGCACTTTCATAATCTTATAATATTCTTTGGTACGTTGGACACGCTAGTTGTATACAATGATACATCGATCATGCATCAACATCATAAATTATCCATTTTGGGACTTGAGATGAGCAACCCCAACATGATGTATCTTAGCCCTTAGGGGTAACTTATGTAGTGTTATGTGTTAGAAATTAAGGTTGCATGTGTTAAAGCTTGAATAGACAACATTTACAATGCCTTTTTTTTTTAAAAAAAAATATTTTTTTTAATATACTTCTTCTAATTTTTAAATTATTTTTTAAAAATATACTTCTTCTATTTACATATATAAGTTATTTTGA